AATAATAAAAAGAATGGGACAAATTGTGAGTGTATGGAGAATTATTATTTTAGAGGATGGTGTATGGGCAGCATGATGTTATGTCTTTGGTGGAGGTTAGATTGATGATTCTATTTGTCTTGGGGGATCGGTGAGTGGGTTGATAAAAATAAATATATATAAAATTTCATCTAAAGTGATGCTGTGTGTCAGTGTGTGTAGTGTGTGTGGTCTGCTCCCTCTCTAAACAATGTGTGTGTGGAGATGTGTGCTCGGCAGAGGGTTGGTGTAAGAGAAAAGTTAAAGAAATGGTTGGAATATTAAAATAAAGGTGCGGTGTGTTGGTGGAAGAATATGATGGAAGGCCAGGCTCCATTGGGAGGCACTGATGTCCCATGTGGGTGGACGCCTCTGAAGCCGCATGCCACAGTAAAATAACGTTTTCTCCATTGCTCGAGAGAGATAGACACGTGACGTCCTGTAGCTATAGCCACCGGGGTATTTGTGTTGAAGTTTCACCAAGAGAAAAGGTTGCCACAACTGTCTGAATGATCGCTTTGGACAAAGCAAAGGAGAGAGGACATCTCTGGAGTGATTGTGAGTCGGCGGCAGCGCAGCAGAAGCCAACAGTAAGGCAAGGCCTCTAAGAGCCAACCGCCGGATTCAACGTCTTGGCAACGACGAGCATTAAGTGAAGCATGGACAACTAGAGGAACTGTGGACCTTCAGGTATGATAGGCATTCGACGTGGAGAGAGAGAGGCCGGCCTGAAGCACCGAGATCCCTGAAGGGCAGAGGTAAGCCCCAAGGGATGTGTCGGGCGATTGAAGAGTCTGGGGTGGCAGCGAGGGCGAGGTAGAGAGGGCGGAGATGCGGCGCGAGAACGGAGTCGCACGTTTCATTAGCATTGGTTGGGGGGTCCGGCGGGCGGTGAAAGGGGAAGGTTCGCCGCGGAAGGCTGAAGATCACCCAAGAGCTAACTTGCTCTGTACATGTTAAAATTCATGTATATGTATTTGATGATTTGTATTGTTGTTTGTATTAACAAACTCCTATATATAGAAAGACAAGGTGGTAGAGGTGTAGTGTTAGTGAGGGTAGGTGGAGTGGTGGTAAGGGAGAATGGTGGTGGAGTGGGCTGGTAGTGGTAATTTACATTTACACAATTACATTAACATCATATATTAGTGGGCCAAATTATCTTGTGGACCTGAAGGGTATCAATAACAATCAAAAAAGAAGAAAAGAAAAAAGGGTAATTAGTTGACATCTTCATGAATGATATGCTTGATTCGATTGCACAACATTTGATATCTTTTACACCTGAATAATCTCAAGTAGTGGTTCAAAATGGAAATTTATTAGTTTGCACAATTCCTCTGGTCAAATTTACTGGGAGAAAAAAAAAAAAAAAAAACTTATTGGGTTTACACCATATTGAACAGAACCAATATCCAAATTCAGCTTCTCAAGTAAGTACTGCAATTCAAGACCCCGTATCCGGCAGCAGTTAGAATACGCTTCGCAGAGAGGTAATTTCCAAAGGCGATGGATTCAGCTTTGTTGATCTTCAAAGCAATTTGACACAAAGCTTGGCTAACAATAGGACACCAAGAACATACCAAAGGCAAGAAAATATACCGAACATCATAATCATCAGCCTCTTCTTCCCATACCTACCACAAAACAACAGCTGACGAATAGACCCTACCAGCGTGAGACCCGAATGTGATGACAGACAGCGCTATGAGTGGTCTTGTTGGAAGCGAATCCAATTGAACTCACAATGTGGGCTTGTGTACATGACAATGTGATGCCAACGAAACTGTTTGAGTACTTGGACCAGTGATAGATGAAGATCGAGCTCTATATATAATATATTCTAGGCATGTGCTGTATTTATTACGAAGGACAAGGGACACAAGAGGCAATGGTAATAACACTCCAGTAAGGGTTTTTGAGAGAGAGTTCTGTTGGCGGAGGGGCAATTCTTCGTGATTCGGTGAAATCCGTCATGGATTAAGAATGCTCTTGGAGCTCGCTTGACGAAAGAGAGAGAATTGGAAGAAAGACATTGTAATGAACTTCGGCGACAGAGATGGAGTTTAGTGGGACGAAAAGGCAAAGAGAGAGGAAAAGATGGAGAACAATTGGATTTGAAAAATGGGTGTCGGGGTCGAGGAACTTGATTACGTCTAAATAATATTATGGGCCTCCGTCATTAATTAAAATAATGAAAAAAGGAACGTTTAGGCTATTGTTTCAAAACATGAAATAAAAAAATTATTGTTTAAAGAAATAACGTTAACCAACAAAAACATCAATTGGATTTTATTTTTTTTTATTTTTCTTATTGTAAAAAATAGTTATATAATATAAGAAATTGAGAAAATTATACAAATAAGTGAAAATTGTATTCAAGTACTGTTAATTGTATTTTTAGGACATTAGAGGCAATGGTCTATTTTGAAACTGTTTTAGCAATACTTAAACTCTTGTAACCCATCCTGTAGCTGCATCAAAACAAGTTCATTTGGTGTCATAAAAAAATAAATAATATTATAAATAAAAATTAAATATCATGATTAGACTCATTATGAACCATTTACTTCAAAATAATATATGATTTAAATATGTATATTTACTAATAATGTTTATTACTCATTCTGGTAGAATGATTATTATAAATAATCGTTCAAAAAAAAACAACACAAAAGAGAAAAAGGTCGGATCTAAGAACTTCCCGCCCGTTTGCCTACCTATAATATTTTGAGCACCACTTTCCCCAGCCCTCTTTGTCAACACCACCTTCAACTGTTGGTTTCTGATTTTCATCAAAAGTTGTAGAAAATTTCTATTTTTTTTATTTTAATTTTTTAATGACAGTTTTTTAATATTAAGTATATTTTTTTTAATATTTTTAGAACCGTAACATAAATACTTCTAAAAAGTATAATAATTTGTTGAATTTTTTAAAATAACAATATACTGAATACCAAAAATAAAAATTCAGTACATTTTCATATTTTGTGTTTATTATATTTTAAAAACTATTTTTTCACAAATATTTATTTATTTAGAGTTATCTAGTAAGATACATCTACAAAAGTAAAAAAATTACTTAAAATTTAAAATACTTTCACTAAAAATAAAAAATACAAAATTTCAAAAAATTTATTCAAAAAACTGAAACAACAAGACTATTCTTTTTTTTAGAGAGAGAAACTTGTTTTACAGCCCCCCCCCCCCCCCCCCTAAAAAAGTCAAATAGTAGAGGTTTGGGAGCCGCTCGATATGTCTTGATCTTAGCCACTGGAGCCATCGCAAACAGAATCAATCAAAGTATAGTCTCTTTCTTTTCTTTCTTCTTCTTATTCTTCCTCCATTTTGCCACTGAAGATGAGAATGGAAAAGAAGAAAAAGAAAAAAAGAAAGAAGAAAAGGAAATAGTGGGTTGGTTGGAACGGGGAGGTATTGGAGCGCCTTCCTTTTTTTTTTTTTTGTTACACTAAACAATGTGATTTTGGTGCATTACAATCTATCTATTACATATGATCGAAATTATTCTTTTTGAGCTATACCTACAAAAATAATTTAAAAGACTATCTTATCTTTGGTTGTTTATTCACATGTCATCAATTTATTTACCGTCGTAATTGGCCACTAACAATTTTGAGCGATGGTCAATCATTGATGGTCAATAATGATTGACGGCAATGTTTGAGAATAAAAAGAAATTACAAATAAAAAAAGTGTAATGATAAATTGTTACAAATGTCTGTTTTACCTAATAAATAAAAAAATAAAAAAATAATCCTTTTTAACTTCAAAAAATTAGACGTTATCCTTGATATCCCAGACTTGGAGATACTGTTGTGAATAAATCACAACAGCCTCCTGTGGAGGCCATTCTTGAGTTTTTTTTTGATAATTTGAACCGTTCATATTGTAAAATTAGTTAAGTATATTATCTATGCCAAAAATCTGTAACCCCATGATCAAATGCTAATTATTTTTAAAAAATTATAAAGATGAAATTAATTGTTTATTTTTTAAAAACAAATATACTCTTGTTATAGAGTTATAGATGTCTAATCAATTTGATGTTTTATATAGATGATCTAATCAACGAATCATACAATATAAATAGTTCAAATTACCAACAACAAAAAAAAAAAATTCAAGAAAAACCTCCACTGAAACACCATAGGAAGTTGCTGTGGGTTGCCCACGGTAACATCCTCAATTCTTCATATTCCACATGCCTACCTGTCTAGATTTATCACCAATTTTTTTTATTAATTGATAATAATTTTTCATATTTCCAATTTACATATATACATATATATATTTCCATTTCCACTAAGACCATCCCAATATGCATCTAATATTTTATTAAATTTAAATTTAATGAAAAATAATAACTATTTAACCTCTAATCGTTTCATCAAACTCATATCAAATTAAAGGTGACTTTTATCTTTAATTAAATTTAAATTATTATTGTTGAGCCGAACATCCTGGTAGATGTCCATCCAATAACAACTTTGATAATTTTTTTGTTTAGATTTGGACGATATGTACTTGGACAGCGGAAGATGTGAACAAATTTGATGAAAATTTTAATTTTAATATTAAAATAAATGGTATCAAATCAAATTTTTCATTAAATTTTTACACAAAATTTTAATATTAAAATAAATGGTATCAAATCAAATTTTTCATTAAATTTTTACACAAATTTAATAAAATTTTTGATCCATGTGGATTTAATTGATGAGGAAATATTAAAATTTTTGATCCATGTGGATTTAATTGATGAGGAAATACATAGTTTGAAAATAAATTATCATTTTTGATGGAAGACCTGAATAAAATTAACAGAGTTATTATCCAGGCTGTAGTTCATTTCTCTTTCAACACCTTCGCTCTCACTCAAGAATTTATTTTCTCTCTCTCCAAACATCTCTGCGATCACCACTATCATCAACTAGAACACAGACGCAAGACTTCAAGCAGAGATGAGTGTAATCGACATTCTAACCAGAGTCGACGCGATCTGCCAGAAGTACGACAAGTACGACCTCGACAAGCAGAAAGATCTCAACGTCTCCGGCGACGACGCCTTCGCCCGCCTCTACGCCTCCGTCGAGTCCGACATCGACGCCGCTCTTCAGGTCTCAATCTCAGTCTCTCACATTTGCCCTAATTTTGTAGCGCTCGAGTTTGAATTTTCTGGAATTTTTGATTTTTTTAGAAAGCGGAGGCAGCATCGAAGGAGAAAAACAGAGCTTCTGCTGTTGCTATCAATGCCGAGATTCGCCGCAACAAAGCTCGATTGCTCGAGGAGGTCCCTAAATTGCAGAGATTGGCTATAAAGAAGGTTTGATCTGTTTGAATTTTTGTTGATTTCATAGTAGAAATGCATAAAGATTTGACGTGATTGAATTTTATGTTTTCATGATTATTTGGAGATCATAGATGACATTGAATTTGGCTGATTGATGCACATTTGGGGAAAAGTTATGATTTTAAGTTTGTAGTAAAATTTGTTTTTCTGTGACGTAGACTTCTTGTAAAAAAATTTATAATTAGGTTTTGATTAAGTTTTGATGACTGTTTCTTTGGCTAGCTCTGAATATACATCAATGCTTACATGATCGTGCTAATGCTATAATTTTGCATGATGTGCACAAAAATCAAACTTCAAAATGTCAACTTTTAACATACATTGCCCCAACAAAAATTGCCACATCAATGAAATTAATGCCAAGCCAAGTTCTTGCATGATTCAATGTTGCCAAGTGTGCTACCAAATTTCAACACACTTAATTATGTATTTATTTATTTTTATTTGATGTAACTTTGAATTATTATTATTATTTTAAAGTATTGATTATTGCGTTTAAAAAATTTATTGCATTGTATAGTAAAAATGGAATCATAACCTATGAAGCATGAATATTGGTACAATTGCGTTACGTATGGGTAAACTAATATAAGAAACCTAAAAAAAAGGCATGAGTACAATCAGGGTTCGTCCCTAATTTGGTTTTGTTTATTGTTTATAGTAGTGCATGATATATAACAATTAGAAAAACAAATGTAAAAAATAGTTAAAGCAAGGTACACACGATAGAAGAAGGGGCCAAATGGAGAGTCGAAGAGGAGAGGAGACATACAGGAAGGTGTTGGTGTTGGCAAGTTTCATGAGACTTTTCGAGAGAGTGCAAGACGAGAAATGAGATCTGATTCTGACCAAGAGAGAATGGGTAGCTAGGAAAATGAAAACAGAGAAGATGGAGAGAGTAAGTGTTAAAGGCTATATTCATAAGAGAATGTGAGACCAAGTGAGAGAGAGCGTTGCTCTTCTATGGGGAGAGAGAGAGAGAGAGAGAGAGAAAATTTTGGCTAGTTTACGGAGGTAGATAGATGATAATCCTAAATGCAATTTTTGTTTTGGGACATTTGTGAAGATACCTTTTCCTTTTGGAGATTTCAAAATAAACACAATATATTTATTTTGGTACTTGTATATAAACCAAACCAAGCCTTAAGTCCCATCAAATGGGGTCGGCTATTTTGGTACTTGTATATATTTTAAAAAAATTGCATTTAACCTCAACATACTCATAAAAGTACCCGTTATGTATCCATGCATATTCATGTTCATGATGTACCCATGCCATACCCAAACATAAATTTTTTTAAAAATGATAATATATATTTGTCGTACCTGGTACTTGTGTAGTTGTATCAGACCCATACCAGTATTGGATACATGGTATTTGTACTACATTTTTGAAGTACTTGTACTTCATAGAAAATTATACTTGCTCCAAAGTGAGTTTGTCAAAATATAACATTTTGTCATTGCCCCATTCCAAAATATAGCATTGACATTATTAAAATAATATGATCTACTAGAGTTTGGTGATGATCTTAGTTCACTATGTTGCGTGCCTATTGTGATTTTTGTACTTAAAAAGTTTGAAGTTGAGTTAGTTTGCTGATGACGGTTTGTTAACTCTACGTAGCCTTATCAGATCCATGTACTGGCTTCTCTTTGATTTCTTACATATGTCAATTATGTTTCCTAGTCATTGGTTTCTTGCTTCTTTTAACCTGTGTTGCATGGACTCTTCTACTTCCCCTAGTATACCCATATCTGTTGGATATGATAAGGGTAAAGGTGTGAGATATGTGTTGACACTTGCATCCAATTTAGACACTTAGATCCTCTAAGTTTGTATGATAATTGAAGAAGAAGATACTCACATTTGCTATTATAAAAAATATTTTTAGCTTGTCACATGAATGAAAGATATAAATTTCATATTTTCTCTAAATTCTATTTAATTTGAAATACGTTAAATAATGTATTACGTTTGAAGTACATTTCTAAATAATTTACCACATCTTATCTAAAAGTACTATATAATATGCAATATATATGGGGAAAATAACATGTCAGTGTAATGTTGGAAAAATAATTACAAATTGGTGAGAATCTTTTCTGGTGCAAGTCTTACATGTATTGTGTGCAAGTAACTGTTTGCCACACTGATACGATGTTTTCCCGTTGAGACGCGTCCTTGTACCATACACAACTTTTGGATGCATATCCTAATATCCTAAGATTAAGTTTAGGAAGATCTGACACTTGGACACGCACACGCACGCACACCCACACCCACACCCACACCCTCATCCACACCCTCATCCACACCCAATACTCGTACCCTCTTTGTCAGGTTTTCCATGCGTTTTAGTTTTCTCGCCTGCAATTTTTAACCTAGGTGCAAAAGCACTAAACTAGCTACTTTGTTTGGGTTGGGTATTGTATGGATAATTCATTCTACTTACAGGTCAAGGGGCTTTCAACGGAAGAATTTGCTGCCCGTAATGATTTGGTCCTTGCCCTGCCAGATAGGATTCAAGACATACCAGATGGGACTGCAGCTGCACCCAAACAAACTGGTGGAGGCTGGGGAGCTTCTGCTTCTCGTACAGAAATCAAGTTTGATTCCGGTGACTGGTTGCCTTAAGTGTTCTTAAAATTTGATATTTTTTTAATTTTATTTTTGTAAGGTTCTTACTTGATTTGTCATTCAATTATTTGTTTCATTTTGCAAGATAGATGGACAGTTTGACAATGAATACTTCCAGCAAACAGAAGAGTCCAGCCAATTCAGGCAAGAGTATGAAATGCGGAAAATGAAGCAGGCATGTGCTTCTTTGAAGTTGTATACTATGGGGCTTTTTGACAATCCAATTCAGCTCTTAAAACTAAATGTTTTTGGTGAAAATAAATTAGGTGTTTTTGAATACCATCACACATGAGCTAAATATTTGAGTACCTCTTAAAAATAGGCCAAATTTTTTAGTAACAAATTTCTTGCTTAATATTGTATACTTGATGTAGGACGAGTAGGGATTACTTTCCTACAAGTAGTGAGCCGGTTTAAGTATACTGGCAAAAGCAACAATAGACTTATATGGCTGGATTTGGTGGGATTTTATGACTCCAAAAGTATTTAAAAAATAGGGGTTTAAGAGTTTGTAAAAAGGTAGGATTTTGGGAATGAAAACACTAGTGTTTAGGGATAGTTGGGTAGTTGTTCTAAGCACTGTGAATAGTGACATGAACAGTGACCTTACTGAAGAAGAAGAAGAAGAAGAAGAAGAAGAAGAAGAAGAAGAAGAAGAAGAAGAAGAGAGAGAGAGAAGTGCTTCACCCTCACAAGAGATAGGCCAATCACACCAACACAATCTCAAATTTTCATAATGTTAACTCTACTATTGAATCATTGATATTACACATCTATTTATAGGCTAATGACTCTCCTAATTCTATAAAGACTGTTACTCAAATTTAGAAAATAAGAATATTTAGTGATTACTAATATTTTAGACCAACTATGATTTCTAATTCTACTTTAATCATAATAGGAAACTGTAATGACTTCTAATTTTAGTTCAATATCAAAATAGGAAACTTAGATATTTGACCACTGAAATTATTTTAGACATAATAAAACTCATATATGACCCATTTAATAACTTGACCTAAAATAAAACCCATAGGTGATCCTTACAACCCATGTCCAACAATTATTGGAATTACTATTATACCCTTAATTACTAAAACCTATTATAATGATATGAAGATTCAAAATTATTTCAAATCTTTAATTCTTGATACCCTAAATGTGTTTCATGTGAAATTACAGATTTTCTCTTTTTCTTCTTTCCATGATCTTCATCATTCTCCCTTGCATTCAAAAAACTCGACCTCGCGTTTTATAATGTTGAAGTATAAGGATTATGGGATCTTGCACTTGCAACCATTCAAATTGATTGTTTTTAATGAATGATAAGAAAATCAAAAAGTTCAATGTTGTCATAATTCCATTGACCACATCGAATTTGTCAGGAATAATAAATTCAATGTGAACTTCATTTTTCTTGTAAAGAGTAGAAAGTTCAGTTGCATTCTTATCATTCTCTTTGGCTTCTTTGGCTTTAGAACATCGATCATGATGATCTTTCATGCTTTTTTTAGTAAGCAAATTAATTTTTGCATTCCTTTCTTCGATATCCTCAATATTAGCATCATGTTCATCTTGCCTTTTCATAGTTTCTTCAAAATCTTCAACACTATCATCCTTTTACTCTTGGATATTAGTCTTCTTTAAAACAGTAGCCAACAATCTTTTTATGGAAACTTTCAATCCATTCAAAGTTGTTTTGATAGTATGCACATCACTCTTTATTGTTGCAACATCCTCCTTAATTATTGCAAAATCCTCCTTTAATATCACAACATCTTTCTTTGTAGCTCTATAATTTGTTGATGAGGCTTCAAACTTCCAATTTAATGCTTGTTGACATTGTAATAAAGAAAGAAATTTCATCAAAAGATTGATAACAAACAAGGTAGGATCTTAAAGCTCTGATACCAAATTGATGTAGGATGAGTAAGGATTACTTTTCTACAAGTAGTGAGTCCGGTTTAAATATACTGGCAGCAGCAACAATAGACTTATAGGGCTGGATTTGGTAGGATTTTGTGACTGCAAAAGTATTTAAAAAATAGGAGTTTAAGGGTTTGTAAAAAAGTAGGGTTTTGGGAATGAAAACACAAGTGTTTAGGGACAGTTGGGTGGTTGTTCTAAGCACTGTGAGTAATGACGTGAACAGTAACTTTGCTGGATAAAAGAAGAAGAAGAAGAAGAGAGAGAGAGAGAGAGAAGTGCTTCACCCTCACAAGAGATAGGCTAATCACACCAACACAATCTTAAATTTTCATAATATTAAGTCTGCTATTGAATCATTGAGATTACACATTTATTTATAGACTAAAAACACTCATAATTCTATAAGGATTATTACTCAAATTTAGAAACAAAAAATATTTAGCAATTACTAATATTTTAGACCAAATATGACTTCTAATTCTACTTCAATCATAATAGGAAACTTTAATGACTTCTAATTTTACTTCAATATCAAAATAAGAAACTTGGGGTGTGTTTGGTTTGTGTTTTGAGATAAATTTTCAAAAAAAAATTGGGGATAGAGTTTAAAAATTTTTTGGTTTGTTTGGTTGTATATTTTGAAAATAGTTTTTAGAGTTTGGGAGTTTGGAATGATTTAATAGTTTGTTGTAGTTGAGTAGATGCATGTGAGAGAAAAAGTGATTGAGAATGAGAGAGGGGAGAGAAAAAGTGATTGATTGATGTGTAATAGAAAGAGAAGTAATTTTGAAATTTTTTTGAGAAAAATTGTAACTAAATATGTTTTTAGAAATTTTCTTTCAAAAAAATGTTTCAAAACACAAACCAAACACACCTTTGAATTTTTGACCACTAAAATTATTTTAGACATAATAAAACCTTCATATATAAGACCCATTTAATAACTTGACCCAAAATAAAATCCATGAGTGACCCCTACAACCCATGTCCAATAATTAGGAATTACTATTATACCCTTAATTACTAAAACCTACTATAATGACATGAAGACTCAATATTATGCAAAATCTTTAATTCTTGATACCCTAAATGTGCTTCATGTGAAATTCCAGATTTGCCCTTTTTTTTTTTATATTTATTTTCTTTCGATGATCTTCATCAATACTGCCATCCCATTACTCCACCAACGGTACTGCCACTATCATTGCCATCAACACTACACAACCACTATCGTCACTGCACTACCACCATCGTTGCCACCACGATCCCACCACCATTCCCACTATGAACCCACCCTACCACCACCACACAACCACCACCACCACCACCACCATTGTTGCCACCATTGCTGCTCCATTACTACCACCATCACCTCTACCCTACCATCACTGCCGCTATGCTGCCATCACCACTTCTTGTCGAAAACCACCTTCAGCCACCACCTCCCGTGGGCCACCCCTCATTTGTTTTCAAAACAAGTTGTTAGAACACGTGTACTAAAATTAACACCAATAACCCACAAACCCAAATCTAAAATTATGTTTACAAAAAAAAAGAAAAAAAAAAAGAGCATAAACCGTGTTTAATGTTTTTTGTAAACAAAAGATAGTAAACTTTAAATGTTGCCAAATGGCGCCTTAGTTTTTAGGTATATAGTTTTCAGTTTTATCAAACATCACCCAAGCATATCTCTTGTTTTTGATTGAGAAGAAATATATATACTGCTTTCTGATGATGATTTTATGTTGCATCTTTGTTATTCCATTCATGCATTCTACTTATCCCAAAAAAATAAATAATATGTTTTACTGTAATGTTCGCACAGGACCAAGGGTTGGAAATGATATCAGAAGGTTTGGATACATTGAAAAACATGGCTCACGATATGAACGAGGTTCGCTACCTTGTGCTTTTGTATCTGTTGCTTTGGTATGTTTTTGTGGACTTTAATTTTTGATATTGCAATTCATGCAGGAGTTCGATAGGCAAGTTCCTTTGATGGATGAGATCGATACTAAGGTTGAAGAATTTATCCAGTCCTGGTAATATCTGAACCTACAGGTGTTGTTAAATTATTCACGGCATTTTTTTCAACATCTAACAGGTGGACAAGGCAGCTTCTGACCTTAAGAATACCAATGTGAGACTCAAAGACACTGTTAATCAGGTGATTGAGCCTGTATTTTCTACAGATTTGAATCAATTTGTGTTCCAGGGATGGGGTGGGGGGTAGGAGATTTCTATCTATATTCAGCTGTGCTTTGTTGTAGATCCCTTTACTGGATTTGACGGAGAGTTTTCCTTTTGTTCCAGCTGAGGTCCAGTCGAAATTTCTGTATTGATATTATACTGTTGTGCGTAATTCTTGGGATTGCTGCTTATCTGTACAAGTAAGTTTCACTCTCTCTCAATGGAAAGTAAACGCTTCATCACATTCTGTTAATATCTGACATGCTTAACGGACTGCAGAAAACAATTTCATGCATAGAAGGGTGAACTTGTTATTAGACGCAAATAACTTTACTTGTAAACTAAACTGAGTGCATAGTTAATTTGGTTGGATTTTCTTCATGCTTGATTAATATCTATTATTGATCTCGCACCTTCATGTCTTTTGGTGGGATAAAATTGATTAAATCAGTTCTCATACTTGTCTGGGCTGCAATCTGATTGCTTAGTCTGCATTGTTTCTTTCTTTCCTTTTTGGTTTTAGTGTTTGAGCATTCTAATGGAGTGTGTACTTGCAGTGTATTGAAGAAGTAAGACAAGGGCTGCTGTTTGTGCTCGTATCGTATTGGCTTTATCTGGTATTGTCTTACATTGATTGAGGCCTTGCTATGTGTTTGATTTTGTATTTGAATGGTCTTTCTGACGTTTGTTTGTCTTTTCTCATGCTTGGAAGAAAATACCTTTGTCTCTCACATGCAGCTTTGGTTTTCTGTATTAATAACATATTCTTTGTTTCAGTTTTTACTTTGTTATTTTAGTTTGCGGTTGTATTTCATGCATTTGTTAATCTTGTGACTCCTGCAATTACTACTCTTGGCATATATGCAAACATATTGTTGAAGGAACCAAAATTGCATGAATGTGAGCCACAAGATCTTTCAGTTGAAAGCAGTTTGGATGTAGAAATTATATTTGTGAAGCATTCCTGTTGAAACAAATTCACATGACCTTGTTGTACAAGACTTATTTGCCTCCCGCCAACATCGATATTTACATGAAACATATATTTACTTATGGAATAAAACACCTAGATCTCATGTCCACACTGTTTCCTGAATACTTCAGTCAATGAAGGTCAAGTTATTTAACTCTTGATATTGGATTATAGAATTCCATTGATTGGCGTTGAAGTTGTTACCTTGTTCATACTGGTCTGTACTACAGAAATTCAATACAGGGATGTTGTCGCTCCAGTGGTTATCTCTGCCGGTCAGCTTCTTCTTTGGTTGGATGGAATTATCATACTGATTTCCTTCACTGAGCTTTCTCTTCTGCCCATTATTTAAGTTGTCAAAAGGTGGAACTGAGTATTGCGAATAGTTTGTGGCAGAATAGTCTTCACAGAATGAAGCAGGTATGCTAGAAACTGTGTCTAAGGAAGGTAGATCTTGAGATGCGAAGATGAGTGGTAGCACCAGGCAATCCCTGTATAGAAAATCTCTGATCATTTCAAGATTAGCGTTTGTATTATTAGAGCAAGGCTTGTCTCCTTTCTGAGAGTAACCAAATGGTTCATTGTTAGGACCACATCCATCTTCCCCACACTTCCTTGAGATGTTGCTTTTCTGCCGAACTCGGCATAGTACCCAATCATCCAACTGTGTTAGAAGAACAACATCTCTATCAATCCATGCTTAAGTGCTTAAGTATGTTCATTGTTGTTATATAAGCTATAGCATGCTCATTGTTGTTAGAATCTTGCGATTCATAATTCGATTTATATGATTTGATACGAGTTTTAACCAAAACGATTTGATTTGTGGTGTTGAATCTTAACTTAAGTGAATAGTACGATTCAATTGTGATTTGCTACGATTCCCCACAATTCAGTTTGGTTTGCATAATGCATGAAAAGATGTCATTTTTTGCACCAAAAAAAAAAAAATCAATTAATTATATTGATATACGTGTTTTGTATGTGTAAATATATATACAATTTATTTGTATTGATATTTATTTAGTCTTAAACTATGTATGATTATAATTTATACTAGATAAAATAAATGTTACAATTCACAATTTTATCAAAACAATTCTATATTTGATTCGCAATTTGACAACAATGTTTAGGTTAAATATTATGCAAAACAACTTACCCTCATGCACCCCTTTTGCCTCGAAGTCAACATCGTTGCTTCGGGCAATCTGTACTCGTTCATGATCCAATCTGTCTTAACTCCTCTTGGAGGGCGTCCTTTATAGAACACGAGAGCTTTTTTCACTCCAAGAGTCTTCCCGCTGCATGAACTGGGAATGGGTTTATCAGTTCCTGTGGCCTTCCAAAAACCCGAACCTGCCATCCTATTAGGCCTCACTCCGTTGGGGTATTTCCTATCCCTTGGGGTGAAAAAATACCATTCCTCCTCACCAAACAAAGCTTTACCTATGTAAAAGAAAAAGTTGATATTAGCTTAGTAAGTTCAACTATCAAAAGAATAAAGGACTAGTTAAAAGAAAAAAGTGTTTGGCAACACAGACCTGGTAGCTCCCAAGGATTGCACTTGTATAGATCTACTTCAGCAATAATAGATGCAGGTAGTGAACTTGATGTTGCTTTGTTTTTCAAATAGTGCACGATGAGCTCCTCGTCGGATGGGTGGAATCTAAAACCGGGTGGAAGTTGAATAATGTCTGAAATGAACTTTTTCTCCATCGAAGAATGCTTTATTCTTGTTGATGAAGGAACCTAGGTATGTAAACAAGTTCACCACAGATATTATCGATCAAAAAGGCTGTGAATTATAGAACACTGTGCACTGGTTAATATATGCTGTATTGTCATGCTCATGAGGGCATTGATGATGGTAATAAAATAGGATTTAATCATGTAATTACATGTTGAGGTTCTATGAAATAGAAAGGAAAGCAACCCTTTGTCTTAACTGGTGACTTTTGTGAGTAGACAACATTGATGGATGTCTTACATATACCACATTTAACACCTTGTGATTTTAGAAGTGTGAGATATCATATGGTGCTTTCGCTTCTTACACCCTAGGAATACAACTAGTTTGATGATCATGGAGATTCAACAAGAAGTCTGCTGATGAAAAGGCTTGGATCGTCTTGGAATAACCAAATGAAGTCGTTAGGTTATTGAATATGATGGATTTTGAGTTGGTGCAGTATGGAAGTAATGGGTGGGAAATGTGATAATGTGGTGGTTAGCTTGCATTGTTTCCACAATTTTGATCAGGTTGGTAAATGAGCAAATCGCTGCATGAAATGAGTAGTTCACTATGGTTCCAAACGATGTCGTATCTAGTAAACCATGATTTTATTCTAGAAGAATTCTTCAATTGCATCAAAGTACAATGTTTATTTTCTTAAAATTGCTTTGAATTTTGATGGTTATCTCCAATATTTTCTCTCTTATTGTCACCCAGTCTTGCTATCAGCCAGAGACCACTGCAAGGACAGAAGTAATTGAGGAAACAATATACATAGAACTAGCAATAGCTTTGCAAACTACTTTTAGGATGAATAGCGCCTCAGAATAATATTGTAGAAAGTTGGTACTTAACAAGACCATGATTGAAGTAGAATTGGCTTGAGAGAACTTGGGGTTATGATCTCCATTGATGATTCTCAATATACTATATATGGATGTTTTAAACACTCAAATGACAACATTGCAAGTTATGATCTCCATTGATGATTGTCAATATACTATATATGGAGGTTTTAGACACTTAAATGACAACATTGCAAGATACCAAATGGTTACCTCATATCAGTATTATTGTTGTTGATAATATATATATATATATGTTTTGGTATATCGGAGTCCATAGTCAGGGGGGAGAGGGTGCAACTCAAGGCTAGAACATTTGGTCATTGTGAAAGTGTAGAAGTTTTGACTAATTAGATTAGACCAAATTGTTGTTATTTAGTTACAAAATTCGATACGATCAACTGGAAATTAAAGCTGAATACGAGTAGGCAAGACCTAGATTGATTATCCCAGTTTGATAGAGAAAAATAAACAGTAGAATATTTGGGACATGCTGATGATCTTTTGGCTCCATATCCTTGCCTTGTCTTAGCTTTATCCGTACAAAATTCCAAACGAAAGGGTATGCATAATTGCAAGTGACATAATAAAGCCAAGTATATGATAATGGGGATTCATCTGTTTTCTTCCCCTTGGAACCCCTCTCTCTCTCTCTCTCTCTCTCTCTCTCTCTCTCTCTCCATGTGAAGTGTGGACATTCAACATTATTATTTCATACCCATCCTTCACCATCTCAAAAACAATCTCTAAAAATCACTATTGTCAAGTTCAAATAGAGAAAATCTCTCTTTCAAAGAATACAAAGTCTTTGAAATCCAGGTTTGATTCATGTGTTTTCTGTATCCAGTTTTGTGTTTGGTTTCTGGGTTGAATACTTTTTTGTCGAATGGATAAGAATTTACGAAATTTGTTGGTGAGGGTGGGACATACTACTAAAAAACCTTGAACATGTACACCAATTTGTTTTCTGTTTGGTTGCGTGTTAAATTTTTCCATAATTCTTGGATATGCATTGTGGGTTATGCACACCTATGTTTCCATGTCGTGTTCTGTATAGATGAACGTTGAGTCCTAGGTGGCTTTGTTTGAGAGTCCAGTAAAGATATGAACTTTCTTGGAAACTTGAAAACTTGGCAGCTAGCAATCTCTTTGCAAGCCAAAAACAACTCCATTTTACTATCAAGTCTCGAGGTTGTTTTTTAGGTTGAGCAATTGACAAGTCTCTCTCTCTCAAACACACACACTTGCCATATAACTGTTTGTCATGTGTGTGTGAGAGAGGAAAAAGCCTCGGTGAACAGAAGGATATGAACACAAAATGTGCATATGTGAGACATGTTGCAACTACAGATGCGAACATTTTTTTGTCTTACATCTGTGTAGTTTGTGTTTGATTCTTTTTGTGCACTATTGGTGTTTGTGTGCCTGTGTGCCTGTGTGTGAGAGAGAAATGGTTACATTATTCAGAGGAAAAAAACAGGGGAGATAGGGGATGAATGCAAAACAAATATTCCATGCATGTCCCAGGTGTTTCACATGTCACACAATAAACATGTAGCATATAATTTTATTGGAAGTGACAATGAACGATTCATAATTTAAACCATTATTGGTAGTGTATAATTTATATTCCAACCAGTAGAGCTATTTTGGTTTTTAGCTACAATTCAGACCGAACAATATGGGGAATCATATATGCTATTTTTCTATCGTTGTATGATTTAAATTCCTATCCCACCCAATTCTTCGCATGTCTAAACATCAGAGTTTCAAAAGAATTCACATATTCTTTTTCTTTTCTTTTTTTTCCGTACAAAAGGTAAGGAGGGTAGTATGCGAGGGGAAATTACATCATGTAAGAATAAGATTCGAATTTGGACATCACATTTGTTAAGGAATACTTTAATCACTAAATCAACTCTTAGTCTAGAAGAATTCACATATTCAATTGCAATTTCCCATTATGATTGGGAAAATCCGAACACTACTTGCCTAAGGTAAAGAAAATGAATAGAGAATCTAGGAACATAAATTGACTACAAAATCAGACATAAAATGTATATAAATAGATAAATTTTTCTTAGAAGTCGCTTGTAAGTATCGTAAAATATCCATTCACTATGTTCATATTTGTAATCAGTTTAAGTGTTAGTAGTAGAGCCGTACAATAGATATTTGTGATTGATTTCTATGTTCGTAGTATAGTTGATGCCTCCTCTCCCAAGCTCTCAATTCTCTCATCTTGTCCAATGGCCAGATCTCCTGATTATAGATACCAAAGATTTGTGTAAAGGGTTTTTCATTTGAATAATGTTAGAAATTTCAAATATTTTATTAATATTTTTATCAAATATCTTACATGATGTATGACCCATATGGTGTGGAACTTACATGGTGTGAGTTCCACACCCATGCAAGACATTTGATAAAAATATTAATAAAATATTTGAGATCCTTAGCATTTTCCTTTTCAATTTTAACTTATTAAACACAAGATTATTAGAATTTTGTGGTTTTGGCGTACATAGGATTCTAACTACTCATCAACTTTCACGTGTTACTGGAAATTTAAACTCTAAAAACATGTATGTGCTTAGCTATGCAAAGGTTCAACTATAGACCATTCTACGAGATTGAAGAATCAATAAAAATCATTCTATAAACCAAAGAATTTTTATATGTAATCTTATACAAGTATTTTATAACATCGACAGCTCAAAGCCAAGTTACAAGCATCAAAGGGTTCTGCAAATTACATACAGAACAATGTTATAGCAATCACAGAGCTCAAGACAGCGGCATTAATAAATAATTAAATAAAACAACAACTTGGTTTTTAGCATAAAGAAATCACTTCTGACAAAGCTAATATTTAATCACAACCATCACTTGGTAAAATTATAAAAAAATAAAATAAAACACTTTGCAACTTAATTCAAATATATATATATATATACACATATATTCAAAATGAAGTTCGGGTTCGTTTGGCATGAAGATTTAGGTTGGGTTGGGGCTATTTTAGTTATAAAAAAATAAAATAGGTTTTTAATCCAATAAGACAAAATGTCATATCAAAATCATAATCATTTTATTTTTTCTCTCACAAAAGTCAAAAAAAATCAAAAAGCTCATTCTAAACGAAGCTTTTTAGTCTCAGGCTGCTAAAATAGCTTAAAAGCTAAAAAGTCAACCCGCATCTCAACGAAGACTTTGTCATTCTAATTCTAAGGTAGAATAATATTATGCTCATGATTCCAGAGGTATTAATGAGTGAGAATTACAAGAATTGCAGTAAAAAGAAAGTAGTTCATGAAAACTGTTGAGGAAGAGTTCCTTATATCTGCAGATAGTGGGGTTCACGACCTACACTCGGGCCTTAATTGGTGCAACATTTGAATTGCTTATGCCTTTTCTTTTTTCTTTTTATTTTGTTTATTTTGAGAATTTATATAGAGCGTGTAGTATATCTACCCACCGAAAAAAAATAACTTGAATAATCTGAAAAAAAAAATTGATTATTGGCAATCTAGAAGAAAGATATTTTTTATTTTATTTTCTACTTATCAGTTTTCAAGCACTATTCACCCAAAAAAGCTGTACTACCCAGGCGTTTCAAGGTCATTGGCTCCACTTACTTGCACCTCAAAAAAATTTGTATTTTTTTAAAGTTTACAAAGTAGTATATATATTTAAATAATTTTATATTCATTTATCTTAATGCACTCGTAATGAAATGAACGATCATATCTTAAAATTTTATTTTATTGTGCGACTGTGACTAAGGACAGCAACTAAAATTTTTGAGACAGAAAAGATAGGGTTTTGCATGGGAGGAACACTGATCCCATCCATCAAGGACAAGCCATGTGGGTTACTTCCAAAAAGTGGAATTGTTGCAAGTTGTGAACTTTTTACCTGTTAATAAAATAATTATGTGCAAGAGAACCAAAATTATTGATTAACTCCTGTTGATGCTTATTGTTCAATGCAATTGAAAAGTTTGCCTCCAATAATTTTGTGCCCTTCATATACACTTTTATCTAATATCTTAATTAAAGTCAATCTACACCACAAATTTTTGGACCACAATCTCAAACTCAATGTGGCTAATCCACTTCAAAATTGACAGCTAAATTCATACATTGGTGTTTGATGAATGAGTTGGTAATCAAGGATGGATTTAGAAAGGGGCAAGAGAAGTGATTTCTCTACAATTTGAAATAATTTCCTTACTATTATAGTATTTATTATCTATTAATTGTCTCTAAATTATGCGGGTTCGTCCCTCTAATTTTTATTTTAAGTGGTTGTTCTTCTAAATTTATGAAACATGGGATTTAAAATAAAAAATTAAATATAATATAACAAAAGAAATTAAATGTTTCGTGTCGAATAGAAACCCTAGCTTGCAAGAGAAGAAGGTAGATGAATTAAAAAGTTATTTGATCACATTTATTAATAAATTAAAAATATATTTTTTTAATGTTGATTCTATGACAAATGCTTTCAATGATATGAAATGAAATGATGTCTAACACAACTTAATGCCTCACTTTTATAGATAAATTATCTTATGAATGTTATCTTTTGGAAATAACTGTGAAATATAAGAAACTTAAGGCCTTGTTTGGCAAGTTAACATTTTAGTTAAAAAGTCAAAAAGTTATTAAAAAAGTAAAAAAGTCTATAATCTCTACCAAAAAGTCAAAGATTTTATTTTCTCTCTATTTTTTACACATCTTTTCATAAAAAGTCAAAAAGTCATTCCAAATATACTAGTTTTTTTTATTTCATAGTTTAGTTAAAAAGTCAAAAAGTTAATAAAATAGCATGTTTCCAAACGAGGCCTTAAGAGAAGTTAAACCCAATTTTATGTACAGAATTTTATCGGTAAATCATTTTTGTTTTTCTCTTAACTGATAATGAAATTTTGGGTCCGTGGAAGATTAGAAAAATACACAAAAACAGGTAAGAAAAATGGGCACTCTCATCCATGATAGGGGTGAGATTACTAATACTAAT